TTTTATAGATTTTCTTTTTTAAATTTATGTGAATCATCAACCATATTTTTTTTGTTATATAGATTATATCTCCTATTTATCATGATTTTTTTTTCTGTTATGTGGATTTTATTTTTAGTGATTTTAATTTTTAAAAATTAAAAAATTATTGTATATGTAATTCTCAAATATAAGTTCTAGTGTTGCATTATTGGTTATTGTTTAAAATTTCACTAATAAATTATTTTTTATTAATCCTAATTATATAAGAAAAAATTATCTTGAGTCTATGTTTTTAATGTGCTTTATATTTTATATTTAGTTGAAAGGAAATTATCTTGAATATAAGAAGAAATTATTAATTATGTATATCATATTTAACTATTTTTATCTTATGCATTATAGTTTAATATTTGATATTATAAACTTAAATATAATAAAAGAAAAATATTGATGTTGACTATATTAATTTTTTAGTTGATTATATTGAGAAAGACAAGATTTCGAAACAAAATAAATGATAAATTTTTTTACAAATAATTTAATTACTTATATTAAAAAAGATATTACCATCGTTAAATAAAACTTTTCTAAAGCATTATTATCTATTATAAGTTTTTTTTCTTTTTGTTTCTTTTGATTTACATGTTATATAAAATTATTGTTTATTATAAATCTTTTGATTATTAATGGTTAAGTTCAATATATTAGTTTTAAAAAATTTTAACTTTTATTCTCCTTAACTTTTGGCCCTAATAAAAATTCACTAGCTCCGCTCTTGCGCCTAAACCACGATTATGGCTATATCACCATGGTTCAACCCATAGAAACCTGAAAATAGGCCATGGCTTCAGTAATCATGGAAACTATGAAGAACTGAAACTTATGCTATGACAAAAACAACGACAATGGGAATTACAAGAATAATGGAATGGCACAAAGCCAAGCACACCATCATGGCAAAACCCTACCGCTCTTGACGAACCAAAAAAAAAGAGAGAGATCAGGTGAGAGGAATGTTGGAACCCAGAACTAGGAAATAATGAAATATTGTGGACTGACTTCAAAGTATGTATTTAAGCTATTTTTAAAAAAATTTTATTTGTTTTTATTTATAGTGTGTAAATGTGTTACAAGTAATTAGCATTACTAATATAATGAAATTCAATGATTGACAACGTTTTTAAACTTACGAAATTAATTTATTGAACACTATCAAACTTCTATATAGTTTTTTTACAATAAAACAATGTAGAAGCAATCTAAAACGAATTTGAAGAAAATGGAGAGAATAATTGCAAATTGTTTCTATTGGTTCAAATTCGAAAAAATCAAAGAGTACTATTTAATAGATAAAGATATGTCCTTTTGTGCAGACACAATCTTTTGAACAAACATAATTTTTGAACAAGCATAATTTTTCAAAAGACTTTCTTCATTTCATTCTTTCAATATTATTGTTGAAAATACCCAATAATCCTCCACCATTTTCAATATAATCTAGATGCTTGATAATTTTGAAAATTGATTACATAAATGAAAGTGTCTTTTAATTGAACTTTTACTTAGTGAAAACATGTTAAAATTAATCGAAATTGCATATTAGACTATGTTTTGAACCCACTATTCTATTTGGTTAATCAAACACATTTCACACAATGACTTCAACACAAATAAATGCACAATATTCAATGACACTTTTATGACCACAGGCCAAAATTTTCTTTTCATGAGTGGGATTAAAGTCAAGCTCTTAAATTTCTAGAAACGACTACACTTCACAGAAGTAGATTTCGTCAAGAATGCTCTTATAATTAAAGCATTCTAACAAATTTATGCTATGGATCTATTAAAAGTATAGTACTTATCATTTCTTTATCATTATGAGTACTTAGCACTTTACGTGGATGGAATATTATAAATAATAATACAGTGCTAATAATCGTATACAAATGATATACTGTCTCATTGAACTCAAGACCTGACATTGTATCAAATGTCAAAGTATTTGTCAAGTTCTCACTTGACCTCCTAAAAGTTATAGTAATCACTTCATCTAAAATTAATTATGGAGTATAAGTATATCTTGACCCAATGTGTCTAGACTTCCCATTATATACTTGGACGATATGCTCTTGTTAAAGTTGTTTCACTATCATAACGGATGAAAATCGAATAAATTGGTTTAGGCCACAAGGGTACACCATAGTATAAATTTCTTAACCATTCGACTTCTTTGTTGGTAAGTGATTACAACCAATGCAATAAGTTTAGCTACCATGATGAAATCCATTATACACACATTTGTTTCTAAGTTCCTTGCGAACTAGCACCCTTACCAAGCATAAAAGTCCATCTACTCGTGAAAGTATGATCTTTTAAATTTGCAATCTAATTAAATCCATATAAAAAATATATAAATCCATATAAAAAACTAATATTCAAAAAAATTAATGCCAATTAAAATTTAGCTTACTGATTTTTTTTATTTAGAGAAAATTAAGTTTTAAGATTGAAATATAATTTTTTATTAAAAAAAGTCCAAACCTTTTCCACTTTATCTTTTTTTTATATATATAATACGATCATCAATATTCTCAAATTCTTTTTGGACTTAATTTTCACTTCAAGCAATCTTAAAGACGTATTTCCCAACATTTAGGTGCATTTAAAATTTTTATTTTTCAATTGTTTTCCACAAATATCAAACTCTAATCAATAAGAAAAGAAAACTACTAATTGGATTAACCTGTGTGGGTTTACAAGCTCTTTTTCTACTTTTGAAATTTGTCAAACTTACCAAAACTTATGCTTACAAAACTTATCCTAACTACATTATTAATTAGGTAAGCTCTAACTACATTTTTAGTGGTTTCAACTTTCCGCGCATAACACGCTTAGGTATTTTTTCAAGTTAGCACTTTTGAATATATACTTTTTTAATTAGCATCTTATGATTAATTTATGCTTTAATAGTAGGTTAATTTGTTAATTTTATCTAATAAAATTATAGAAAGAGTCATAAGCATGAACAAATAGGTTAACTTTGAATGAAAGATACTTTTCACAATTTTACTGGACAAAATTAATATCCTAACCTCTTGTACAAGGTACTAATTGAGAAAAAAAAATATAGTTAGAAGGTGCTATTTGAAATAAAAACAGTCAAGATGGCATTTGAAAAAGGTTGAAATCACAATAAATATAATTGAATATTATTTACGGATATTTCATAAAATGGGAGATTCATAGGCATGAAGCTCTAGATCCTGAGGCTTTAAGTTAAAGTGGATATGTTATTGTTAGATCTATTTTTCAAACGTTCATAAAGAGATAGTTTAATGATTGAAATCAAAATTATAATCTTAAGAGGGATTAGGGATTATAAGATAAACACAAGGGATTAGGATTATGAAATAAATATAAGTAAATTTAAGTGCATGGTTCAAATTCAATAAACTATACGAGCAAAGAAATTTTGTTAGTATATTAGATTGAGAGGCAAATTGTCTATGAAAAATTCAAAATATTCTATCTCGTAGTCGTTTAGAAAAAAATAAAAATCTACAAGTCGTGGTTCTTTGTTTAGTTAACATGCATATTTTATTCTGCAAGGGTCGGGGACATGAACACATCACAGTGCATTATGACTTCGAATGGACATAAGGATGCTGTGATGTCTCTTCTTCACTGTAATGTGTGTTTGTTCTCATGTTCACTGGACTGCAGTATAAAAGTTTGGTTTGCTACAGAAGGAGAAAATTAGGAAGCGATCTATACTGACAAGGAAGAAAAATAATGGTGATAATGGATTTGTCATCAACCATGAGCTAATATGAACTGCTTTTTGATGCAAGGCGTGCTTGGCATGAATGATGCAGAAACTAAACTGTATGCTGATAAGAGGGCCAGACATGGTGTAGTTCAAGTTTATGAGTGATTCAAAGACCATTTCCGCTTTTCTTCACAGGGGATGGAAGTGACTGTTTGGAAGTGATTGCAGAGGCCTGGAGGAGGGGCCCCTTGAACCTTGAGATGCCATGTACTTATATAAACATCTTGCTCTGCAAACTCTTTCACTTTTGCTGCATAGAGAAGATGCATGAAGGGATATAGAAATGAGTGGAGGCTAATCCTATTCTTGAGCAGAACTCTTTTACTGACTGTACCCAATCATATATCCATTTCATTCATTCGTTCAAACAAAAAAAAAGCATATTTTATTCTTTTTTTTTAAAAAAAAAAACTTGCATATTTTATAAATTATCTTTAAAGGTGGGTGCTAGGTGAAAGGGAAGCATGTGGGAATAGATATTTTGTATTGGTACACAAGAAAAAGTTTGCATTTGGTTCATATGATTTGTTCAATAACTTCATTTTTACTATGTTTCTTAAATTTGTTATGATTCTTCCGAGTTTACTTATTTTTTAATTAATGTAAAAAATATAAATTTTGCTAGTAAGAAAATAAGTATAAAATAAATTTGATTCAATTCATAGTTTTAATAATACTTCCGCTCCTAATTATGCCAGAATCAAATGATTCAATTCATAGTTTTAATAATAATTCTTCTCCTAATTTCATTGCAACCAACAGTAAATACCAAAATATTTCTTTTAAAAGCAGCACAGCATAAATAAATATAACAACATAAAATTTCAATTTCATACAACATTATAGTAATATATATTTTGTACGTTCGGATCTTACCCAAACGTTATGACTAGTTTTTTTTTTTTTTTTTGTTTTCATTCAAAGTATGTGAATGCATGGTCAGAGCATTTAATGAATGCATGTGAACAATGTTTTCTTCACAAGCCAAACTATACAAGGCCTCAAATTAACTAAGGGAGGCTATATTTCCGTGTAGGCAAATATATTAGCTGGAAGTCAGGTGGACAGATGAAGACCAGACCACACTTCAAAAATAAATGAACCAAGAAAAGGAATGATAAAATTGTTACATAAGGGAAGCTAATTTAGTCAAAAGTGGACGAAACATATATTACTAGCACATATCTTGGCATTGCATCAAGTTGCCCAAATCTCTAAGGCAGTCCAGTCCATCAATTTACTTAAAATTCAACTAAGGTAAGGAAATATATATATATATATATATTGCCAAATGGAATTCGTTCAGACTTTAGAGCCTTGCTAGAAAAGGTACAATGGACATGGCCTGAAAACGGAGCCTTCAAGACCATTTTTATGTGTTGGATTGATATAATTAAGCACTATCAAGCCCCTATATGGAGTGCTTACCTCTTAAAGATCTGGCGTTCAATTTTAATATGAATTCCGGCATACTTGTTGGATAAGTTCATTTCGTTTCGTTTTGAAATTTGAGACAACGAGAAAGATAACGACCCATATTAAAAACTTATAAGAGGGTAAAATATTGATGCTTCTGACAAGGAAAATAACTATAACTATTAAGCAATAGAAAGAGCTATGCATCGTCACGATTAACTAGAATAGCAAAAGCCTAATTTGCAAGAAAAATGGGATTTGGTTCACACGTTACATGCTTAATTTCAACCATGCCCCTTAAGTCATGGACCTGTGGTCAAAATATTACTACTACTTAAAGAGCCAAAAAGTATATTAATGGCGTTTCCCCAGAAGGTTGCTGGGTGCTTCTGTTATTACTCCATAATTTTTGGCCTTGGTTCTGTTTTTAATTTTATTTACTTGACAAATTGTTTGAAGAGGACAGACCCCACAAGGCCACAACTAGACAAGATTTGGAACTAGCATCCTCGACTTGAATGGTCGTCTCGTCTTCCATCTCCAAAACGGTAAAGGTGAAACACGTTGAGTCATTCCCGGATTTTTGTTCACACTTGAAATTAATCGGTCCATTGTCTGATTCAAATATAAAAACATGAACAAGAATAAAAAATGAAAACGAGAAACGAACCCCTCATGTTCTTGATAAGATTTCGTTTGTTAAGGTTGAAATTTTAAAAAAAAGTTTTAATTTTTTCTCATATTTGAAATGGAGAAAATTTTTATAAATATAAAATAATTTACAAATTAACAAAAAAAAATTGCATTAATCTGTGTAAATTGTTTTATGCAACCATAAAATATTTTTCATATACTTTCCTTTCTCTTTAAAATCGATTTTATAAATCTTAAGATGGATCTCACTTGGAAAATATTGTTTTCCGTACCTTATTAAATTGATTCCTTAAACTTTAAAAATTGACCCCAAAAAACAATACAACCATAAAGTATCATTATTTTCATTTTTCTTTCATCTATTTAATTATTATTCTATTTTTCAACAAACCATCATTAATTATTATTATTCAATTTTTTCGTAAGAATCATATCATTATAATTATTTTTATTAAAGTACATGAGTATTTAATATAATATAAAATAATTAAAATCAATTAAAAGAATTTTCATATAAAATAAAAAATAAAATTTTCACTAATGAAAATCTTTCATTTTTTTTTAAAATTTTCAATTTATAGTTTATTTGCTTAACAAATTAATCAATCTAACAATATGATGAGAAATAAGTAAATAAAAAAGTTGAACATTATTTATATATAATTTTTTAAATGTTGCAAAAAATGTTTTGGATGTTTTACATACTTGATGAATGTTGATGTTTTTTTGATATTTTGATAGAAAATTATTAAAGATGGGAAATGATGGAAAACATTTTCAGCAAGATGATTCAGATAATAGGAAAATTTTTTAATAATTTATTAAATAACAAAAAGATTAAATTTTTTAATAAATTTTATTTAAAAAAATTTCTCCGACAAGTTATTATTTGGTTAGCAAGGGAACCTGGGTTAAAAGCAACATTTCTAGACGGTACATTTCCATGTACTCCTTTTTGGTATATAATGTAAAAAGAAAGGAGGATAAGTGAACAATGGGGCTTTGTACCTTGGGCTTCATGTTTCACCAACCCCTACTGCCCTACACGGTTGGGGTTTTACTCTGAGGCCTACTCCTGCAAAAATCAGATGGCATGTCTCCTAGAAAAATTGACTACTGGAAATACCCAGCAAAGGGTGAAAAAAGAAGGGCCATTTCAGTTTGAACGACGTTAATTTTACAGTCTACCCAGCAGGAGTAATTCTATTGGAATAAAAAAGTAGAAAATTTAATATAAAAAAAGGTAGAAAAAATATGTCACTATTTTCTCATGATAGCTAGGGAATTCTAATTCATCTCAAGAAAAAATTATTACAGTAGAAATGTCATAATACTAGTAACAACAAAAAGAAGACAAAAGCAATAAATAGTTGCCGCTGAAATCATTCAACATCCTCTTTTATTACTATACTCCTCAGAATCACATCAAAACCAGCAAGGAAACCAAACCCAAGATCCACAATCCGGCACTCATTTCCCTAACCCTCGACCCATCTCCCGAATCATTGTTAGCAACTTGTCGAGATGGAGATGGAGATGGAGATGGCGTTGGGGATGAAGAACCGGAACTCACTTTCTCCACCAACTTCAACTCTCCCAAAGAAGCCAGATTGGCTTTAGCAAACTCATGCTTCATCGGCCGACCATCACTAACCCCTGGCCCCACCTGCCAAACCTGGTTCAACTTCTCGGCATTGGCCGGAACTTTCAACGAACTGTAGATAACCATCTTCCCGTCGTTGCCAGCCCCGGCTTCCAGGTCCCAAACGTCAAAAGATAGCTTCCCTTCGACAATGGAGCTGTAGGAGCTAATGTTGTAGGTTTTAACAACCATGGAGCCGTTGTTTTTGAAGGCAATGAGGGCTTGGGAACCTGCCATGCCCGTGGCCGTCGGATTGATGGCCCAAGCGATCCAACCGTTGGGGTTGGCTGGAGATGCCGAGAAGGCGATGGAAAGAGAGGAGTTGGTTGCATCGTAGGTGAAATGGAGGGTTGAGTTTAGGGTTGGGAGCTCGGTGCAGTTGGAGTATTGTTTCTTGCCTCCGGGGAGTTTCAGCGTTGAACAGTTGAGTGAATGTGCGGGTGACATGAGAGCAACCCAAAGAGAAAATAATAGAATCAGAGAAGGGCAAAAGAGAGACTCCATTTTTCTTTCCTCTTTTTTGGGCCCCTGAAAGAAAGAGAAAGTGTAGACAATAGTGGGGATGGGGCAGATGCCATTTGGTTGGAGATTTTTGGAGGAATATATAGAGAGGAACATGGAGAAAAGAGGAAACTTGAGTTGGGCTTGATGAATACGTGGCCAATAGTTGAATGCCACGTCGGCGGGCACGCTTTTAGTAACCGACGTGGGCGGATTCTGGTTGGTTAAGATCAGAAGTTGACTTTCTTCGATGGTTAATTTGGCACTTTTGACTCGTAAAGTTTTTGAGGGGGAATAGGATCTAGGAATAGGGTACATCACGTGCACAATCTGAAGGGTGTTAGGAGGAAAACCCCAAAAGGAAAGGAAGCTGCAATAAAAAAAAAGAGCTCGAAAAAGAAACCGAGCAAGATTAAGAAAATAATTTATTATAATAATACTGGGGGGTGCACGTGGGTGATGCGTGCTACTGGCTCCATGTTTCCGTTAAATGAATGAGGGCAGGATGTAGGCAGGGACTGGGAAATGATAAGGTGCCAAGCTGTCATCGATCCAAGTGTGAATATCGTGACTTTCTCTTTTCTGACCTTGTTTACTTTCTGGGCGGTGGCACATATTTACCGTGTAAATGGATGTGAACCACAAAGTCTTCCATCGTTCGCCTGATTTTTATTCCCCACTTTCAATGGTTTTTCCTCTTCTCATTGCCGACGACGACGACTTGTTATTCGCTTAACTATTCAAATGCTTATAGTTTCAATATTTAAATGAAGGGATTTGTTACTATATATGACAAAAATTTGCAAATTTCTTTTAATTTTATTTACAAAAATTAAGATTCTTTTAACAGAATAATTATGTTATTGGATTCTCAGATTTTTATCCAAATTTCACTTTATCTTAACAAATTTAGTCAAATATTTATAAATTCAAGATGAGGTTTGGAATTATGAATAAGCTATTTCATTCATTTAACTTATGTTTTTAAGTAAAATTATAGCATAATATATAATTTTTTTTATAGTTTAAAGTTAAGTACGTAGGTGCATTTACAAAATAAAGAGTTTTATATGAATTATTTTTTTTTAGAAAAAAGGCTGAGAGGAGCATTAAATATCGAGAGCAACAGGGAAAATCCCTATACAAATGTCCTGTCAAGAAGGAGGTGAGAAGGAACCCCGTAGAAAAATCAAACTATGACCACCCTTGTCCATACAGCTGAGCCAGCGAGCAACAAAATCAACAAGTTCTGGCATACCAGAAATGTCCAACAAAAACAGGTAATAGAAAAACAAGAAAAAAGCCAGAGTGCAATCCGCTTACTCTCCACCGGTTATCATTAGCGTCTCGACATTCTGAGATGGGTTAGCTTCAGAGTAGATCCATAGAACGTCGTGTGCTCTCAACACTCCCCGTTTATATGAATTATTTTAATTTAAAAATTATGTTATATAGTGTGAGTATTAAATAGTAAATATGTTTTATACGTGAATAGTTATGTTTTTTAGTAAAATGATATAATAAAAAAATACTTTTAAATTTAAAAATTATAATACCATAATAAAAAAAAGTATAATTTAAAATTTTAAATATGTAAAGTTATTTTTTCATGTTATAGTTTAAAAATTATATCTTATAAAATAAATTATTATCATTTTATAAAGTAATTATTGAAAGAATATATTTATTTAAAGATTGTGTTGTGTAAAATGTAAATATATTTTTAAGATAAAGAAGTGTCTTAATGAAAAGATTATTTCTTTAAGAAGAGATACTTATAAGTCTATGTAAAAGACTTGCTACCAACTATTTTGACATACAAAAAATATATAAGACAAGAGTGAAAAAATCAAAAGAAAGAGAAGCCTTATGTTTTAAAAATTATCATAAATATTTAAATTCTTATCAACCATCGAATTCTTTATAATTTATTTGTTATAAAAAGTAAGCTTTAAGGTTGAATAGTTTTGCAAATTCTCAAATCTATTTAGCAGTCATTCTCGTAAAGTGTAAAAATGAAGTCAAAGTTAATTTCATTTTATTTCAAAACTATTCTTATATTTTTTTTTTACATACCAAATGATAAGAACGAAATAAATCTTAAAAATACATTTATTGAAAGATTTGACTTGAAGTAAATTTTATCGATTTTTTTAAATTTCAATTAAATCCCATTTATATAAACAAAACAGTCTTGATTCGATAAGTGGAGGTGAAAATAAAAAATACTCCAATCTACCGTGGATTTATGAATCATTATGATTTTGGTTTTGAGTCAAAACAAAAAAATATTGATGTTATAAAGATTTTGTGTTGAGGTCATACTTGATATCAAGAAATCTGGCAAGATCGTGGCCCAACAAAAAAAATTGCTTGATTTATCCATATTCTATCCCAAAAAAATTAATGAGAACAATTGGAAAGCTTTATAAAAATTTAAAGATGTTGACAGAGAGATATACAGACTATTAGCCTTCATTTTTTGGGCTAGACATAGTACACCTTAATCAAGCCGAATTTTGTATATACATAGATATCTGCTCGGTTTGTGGGAACTTTAGTCTGCTTGTCTTACGCTTGCAGGATTTTATCTCCATTTTGTCTGCTTAATTTGGTGGAAATAGATTTTCATCATGTCCCAAAATTCTAATGGTATTTCGTATCTGCAGCATCGCAATCTCAAGAACAACACGCACTAATACAGCATACTGGTAAAGCTTTGGAGCACCAAGCCGTGTTTCTCAAATACATATCTAGTACCTTCTAGCCCAGAAAATGTAATTCAACAAATTGAGCAAGTTGAGAATGCAAAGGAGCGTGTAAAATAGATCCAAACGGGAGTGGTTCAGATCATTTCCTCCAATCCATACTTTGCCAAAATGTCCACTGACTGAGTTGCTTAATGTCACCAACACTGAGCTAATGAAGTATCCCATGGATGTTGAACACCAAGAGAGTGCAGTACTCATGCTTCTCATTTTATCTGGAGCCTCAGAGTAGAAAAATTCCAGCATTCCACCTAGAGTTAAGATGTCCGATAGGCCGAGCAGCACGTATTGCCACCCCAGCCAGAAAACAGATAATGTTACATTATTATTTGCCTCGACACGCCTTTTAGCCTCAACTATAGCTGCCACAGCCATGGAACCTGATGCTAGAGCCAGTCCCAGTCCGATCCTCCTGAGTGGTTGGAACATGTTAAGCCTTCCAGGAAGGTTATTTTTTATTCTGAACAAGCGTACTGAATATTCGTACAAGGGTATAAAAGCCAGCATAACCATTAAGGGGAACACCGATAATGACTGAGTAGGGATCCTGAAATTGTTAAGCGACCTATCCATGATGTTCCCTTGTTCCACTGAGAATGTCATCAATTGGGCCAGGCAACAGTTCATCATAATCGTGCTAGCAAAGATGGGGAGGAGGCCCAGGAAGGTCTTTGTTTCCTCGACCTCAGTTGCAGTAACATTGGAGTCACCAATTAATGCTTTATTTAGAGACCTGCATAATTTCAGATTCTTGTCAAATCAGAGTGCATTATGATGACTACTTACAATTATTGGAGACAGCATGCTTGAAGCTGGTGCAAAAGTGTACATGGTTTTTCATTCATATCCGCTTTATGTTAAATCATTAACTCCTTTATATAAGAGAGGCCGAAGTATAGCATCTAATATGACTTAAGGCCTGTCAACGATATGCAAATTCTCTTTTTCATCAAAGATTTTGAATGTTGTAGTATACATTTTCACTAATGTTTTCCATGTTGTTCTACCCATGTTCCCAGGATGATCTTTTCTAACTTGTAAACAGTTAAAATGGTTGTTGAAGCCTACTACATACCTGAACTTATCATGGTTTCTCTTCTCTCCAAAAATTTCAATCCGATTCTCTGCCTCTGATAGTGAGGCTTTCCTGTTTCGAATGGCAGAAGCAAGCACCTTGATACCCCAAAAAGTTCAGAAAACAAAGTTAGAGCTACACTGAATGCCTAATGCATTAGAAGAAAATTTGATGTGATCTTCCAATCCCATTGCAAACTTAGTTTTACCTTGTATATTCTTGTCAGTGGACTTCCGCCAGGGCGTTTGTATCTATAAATTGGAAACCCCATTGAGAAAATGCAGAGTGCTACACTTAATGCTACCACTGAAATCTTAAAACTCCAATTCCAGCCTAAGTTTTCTTCAATCCAAATCATAACAGTAGACGCAATGAGACCACCGAAACATAGTGAAAAGAAGTACCAATTGAAGAAGGCAGAGATTAGACGCTGTTTGCTGTGGTCTAGCTGATCAGCACCATGAGCAGGCAAGGCAGCCTTAACGCCACCAACGCCTGCTGCCATGGCATAAAGCCCTGCATAAAGGATAGCCTCCTGGGACTTGGAAGGCTTGCTATTTATAGCAGGCTGCAACCGACTGTCTTGAGCTTGAACTGTCAGCAGGATGAGTCCCTAAAAGGGTGATTTATTTATTTAAAAATTTCTTTGTAAAATGGAAATATTTTTGTTTGCTTAATTTGCGTATTAAATGAACATTACAAGAGGGAAACATGAAGTTAACCATACCAGCAACTCTAGAGTGCAAAAGATGATAAATGTCTTGAATCTTGTGAAGAAAGAATCACCGATGAAACCCCCCAAAATGGTGAGCAGAAAGGAGGTTCCCATGAAATTAGTCACCATATTTGCAGATTCAGCAGCCGGGTAATGCATTGACTTCAAAAAGTAGGCAATAAAGTTTGTGGCGTTGGATAAGAAGACCATGTTCTCTAATACCTCAACAACTGCATGCGACCCCATAATAAAATTTAGATAAAAATGCTATCAACAACAATTCTGTTTTGTGGGCTCAATCCCACTACTAAACAAATCAATCCTAAGTGATGGGCTTAAGTGGTAGCTTTAATTTTCTTTCTTCATTCAAAAAATTCAAAGCTAAAGTTAACTAACCACAAACAATGCTTGAAGCTCTAACGCCACCATGTTTTCTAGGATCTGCCTTTTCCCCTCGCCAATCCTCCAACTCTCCATATTCAAAGCTCATCTCATTAGCCTATAAACATTGACAGTGATCGAT